GTCATGCCAAAACTGCAACAATGACCTAAAAAAGGTCTTGAAGGACTCCGTTTTCCAGCCTGGCTATATTCTTTGGTCCCATTACATGAAACTGACAAAATGCTGAAGGATGTCTGTTTTAATTACGTTTCTCTTTCAGAGCCAGTATCTCTGTAGTTTTGGCGTCTCATACAAAAATCAAGCCATTACCCCCACCGCAAAAAAGTAAGACCAAGCACATTTACTGTACAGGTCCTCTATGTGAACAGACTAACATTACTGAAGAAGATTCTTTGGGGTCTTTTAGGTGATTGGGAAGATGAGATTCAGTCAATACCTGAGCAGTCATGTGAGCAATACTTGTTGAATGACCTCCTTTCACTTCTGACATTTCATGTCTGTCCTCTGGTCATTAAGGAAACATTTGGGATTCTGAATGGTTCTTCTAGTTAAATCCTTTGTTCAGAGTTTAGGTAGTTCAAGAGTTGGGCCAGATCAAATTTGGACTGTATCACAGTCTGGTAGGGGTGCCAGATCAGATTTGGACTGTACACTACTACAGTCTGGTAAGAGGCAACATACATATGGGACCATTCCATCTTGTCATGTCTATGGAACCATTTGAGCTGCAACACACCCCTCTTGGGTATTTCAAGAACTTGGCTATGCAGTTGTCATTGATCATATTCCTTCAATTTACACTGTATTAGATACAGCTGAACATAGCTCCTTCATCTGGAACTGGTGCCTTCCCGCCTGTTAAATCAGTGCTAACTTTCAGTAATGCCACTTGCCTGATCAAAACCCCTTAAGCTAATAAGCTGCTTTAGTTGATTAACCACACTGGACACGCTGAGAAAATGAGCCATGGAGGGCTTCTCTGCTGGTAGAGATCAATAAGGGCAGAGACGGGGAAGTTATGGATGACAAGGAAGGTATTTTCTGAAGCACAGTTTATTCAAACCAGAAAAATCACTGCAGTCTATCTTAAGGGAAGACCTGTTTGAAGCCAATTTGAAATGAACAGAACCCAGCCACTGCGCTGCAGTGCATGGTGGACTGAACACTAATGAGAGAAAGGCTGGCATAAGTTGACCAGGACTCTCTTGGCTCCCAGAAACCCCTGTGTCCTCCTGTGCGCTTCCCCTTGCATGGGGCTTCAAGTTAAAAACAAGCCTTTTGAAGGTGGAAGGGTCACAGGACTCTGCTCACATTTCCTCCTTCTCCCCCATGTGCGGTTGAAGGGTTTATACTTGTGAGCTGAGATGGGAAAACACACTACTGGCTGTTCCAAATCAGTGGGTATATAACAAGAGATAATAAGTGATATGATATAATGTCACAGCACAACACAATAAAAAAGCAGGATAATAAGTACAGACCAGTAAGGAGCAGTACAGCCTGACAACACTTGATTTCCAGGGGAAAGCAAACAGTGGTGTAGGCCAAGTGCACTTCCAGACTCCCAGCCGAAGACAGGAAATGTTCAATTTGCCCTGACCGTGATCTGGAACACCTGGTGTTAAGAAAATGTTATTCCATCATGTTACAGGGCTAAAGTGAGCCACAGAAGTAGGTCTGGTTTGGCGATGTGTATTCAAGTCATGAATCAAATTTGTACTGTTTCCTGAAATAAACGGTATGAGTTTAAATGACAGAATTTGTTAACTTTGTGCTTTCTTCTAAGTAACAGTGCTAAATATGTTCATACAAGATTACAAAAATTATTATAAATATTGATAATGAGGTTCAGTGGAAAATACCAGACCCACTGAGCTTTTTATTCGAAAGACTTTGACAAGTGCCTTAGCAAGCACTGAGAATTTAATTGCAAAGTGTTTTCAATATAGGGCTCACTGTCTTTCTTTCCTAAGACTCACAGGACAGTTGCCAAACCTGTACCAGTGCCGCACATAGCAAATTTAATCTCATTAAATTCTTCTAAACCATTCTAGCAGGCCTCTGGATTTGCAGCAGGTCCATGGGTAGCAGTCTTCAATTTACTGCCTAGGCCTCCAAATTATTCTGCGCTGATTGAAAGGCTGTTGAATTCATGACAAGAATAAAATGAAATGTTTTTTTTTGAGCAACTGTTTTAAACCAGCTCTCGTTCCTGAATGTGAGAAGTAATTGAGCGCTGCCAACACAGTGATAACATTTCATTTCAAGACTGGGTGATACCTGATCACACCATTAGATGACTTGCCTTATTGATTTATGCACTGGCCTTGGTTTAGTTATGCCTGCGTGCTGTGGACTCCCAGGGCTCCTCTGCAGGTATAGGATTTCCTGTGTGTTAATTAACGCATTCACATTGTGGGCTGTGTTTCTCTCTGTTATAGAGTGCAGACGCGGGGGGTGCCATCTGAGGGCAGGCTTAAATAAAGGCATTCTGAGAGACTGGCAGCTGACCCGTCTTTCCACACTGAGTGGCATGGCTGCTTGACAAGAGCGCAGAGCTGCTGAGACACACAGCGCTGCCTCCCCAAGCAAAACAACTATACCTTTCCCACGGCACAAACCGTGAACCAGATTGGCGGCAGTGTAACCAAGTGGTCTTCACCTACCCTCGAAATTAAAGCGCATAGACGGAACACAGGAACAGTCACGAACGAGAGGAGGTCTTTCAGCCCATTTCGTAGTTAGTAGCTAATTGATCCAAGGCTCTCATCCAACCATTTTGTGATAGAGGCCAGGGTATCGGCTTCAGCTGGATGGCTGGGTAGCTTGTTCCAGATTCCCATAACCTTCCCACAATTCCAACAAACTCTCGTTTGTTTCTCTGCTTCGTACAGAAGAATTCTACATTGCTGAATTTGTCAACACACTTTCTTCTCTGTTCAAGGCTAGAACATCTTCTTGCTTTTAGACCATCAGAACAGGACATTCCTTTAAACCCAGGAATGTCTCTGGTCGCTCTTATTTCCAGTTTTATGTCTGCTGTTATTCTGTTTGCAAAGGGTGTGTAAGTTATTGTGTGGTTTATTGCAAGATTTTCAGTTTAATGTCTAGTGGAGACTGTGCTTTCTGTTTCACAAAGCATCCAGAAGTCAGGTGCAGTTTTCCTACGTTTGCTATTTTTTACAGACACACTACCATTCTTGCTTTTGAGTAAGATATGGGTGTACCCTTTGGCATGCTGGGACTAGAATTTTATTTACTACAGAAAATCGGAATATCATGGTTCTTAGCATTATGTTGAACGTTTCTGTGAATTGAGATAACCTTTGGATCATAACCAAATCAGAAACAAGTTAATCAAAATCTGGCTTGTGTGCTGTTCCCTAGCATCTTGATTTGGTGCCAGAGGAAGTAAGTGTTACACGCTGGCTTGATTGCAAAATGGCTGTTTTCCACAACATAACTCAGTAGTAATGAAAATGGCATAAACTTACAAAAAACAATTGGGCTTAATTATTTAACTTATTTTAAACAACTTGTATGGAGGTTTATGCAAAAAATGGAAATACTTAAAACCTCAATACTTCTCAAATTCTCCAGTGTTAAGTTCATTTATGACTGTGCTGTGTAAAAATCTAGATTATTTAGTTATTATTAGTCTAGTTTATTTCAGATGAAGGAGCCATTGAAATAAAAGCTCCTAGCTTGTGACAAGGGTCCTTACAATATCTTATCCTTAATAATTTTCTGGATAACCTATTAAAGTAATAATGCAGTACAAAACGCAGTGGGCCTTTTTGTCCTTTGTCATCCGGAATAAATCTTTAGAGACTGTAGCTCTAAAACGCAGGGCTGCTCTTGGTATGCGGATTGGGGTGCTTTTCTCTAGGCAGAGGAATGAATGTACAGTGTGCTATTGTGTTTTAACAGAAAGCAGTTTCATTTTCAGGCTGTCATGATGGCTCGATGGTTTAACAGTTATCCTCGTGGATTTTCTATGAAGCTTTTTTTTTCATTTCGCTTGAGCCGGATTGTAAACAAAGTCCTGGAGGAGGACGACCTAAGCCGTTGTCCAACCTGATAATAGTCTTTCAATCTGCATTTCTTCCTTTTCAAGACCTTTTTCTTAAAAGAAGCATGACTTGAAAACTCTTTACTTGGGCACAATCAGAAAACAAATCTCTTAGTGAATTGGAGTTATTTATAACCAGAGATAGAATTGCTTCTCTAAAACAACGACTTGAATATAAATATAATGACATTTGTCGGGTCCCTTTTTTTAAGGTAAAATAACAGCAAGAGAGATTTTACACAGATAGGTTTTAATGATTTTAAGGTGTTACACAAAAAAAAATCTCAAAAACAAAGCAGTTTATAGAAATGTGAAGATATCGTAAAATGCACATTACTTTACTTCTGCGCATTTATGAAAAAACAAGCTTACTGTTAATATTTCTACTTCCCACGGTGGAGTCAAGGTTGTGGTTGTAAGGGAAAAGACTTCCACTTTGGCAGAAGCTGTGTGTCCAAGACAGTCTCTTCTAGAAGACTTTATAGCATGGAAAAGTGCTTCTGGCAGGTTGCAAAAATGAAAAATTGAGCAGCAAATTTAAAAACCTTCACTTGAAATAGAAATCTGCTCTGCTTTTCTAAACTACTCACCAGCCCTGACAAAATGACTGTTTCAGTGCAGTCCAGTTACAGCCCTTTGTGCATTTGAGCAAAGCCACTGCATCACTCAAATCACATAGCCATGAGCAGAGAGGGAAAACAAACCTCCAGAGCCTGGTCTCAGATTTCCCTCTTGTTCTTCATCACTTGCCATTAGAATTTAACTGAGAGGCCAGAAAGGCTAACAGATATTGTCTATGCCACTAAAGTAAAATGCACAAGTAGCGCAAGGCAATCAGAACATACATATATCTCTCTGGTTGCAATCCAACCATGTGATGTAGGAGATATATATAATCCTCATTTGAATGATCACTAAAGGGATTGGGGTTGCCATTGTCAGGGCGTGTTGTAAAAAAGGGATAATGGAGAACACACTTTGTCTGTTTTTATTTCATTCTGTAGCAGTGCTAATGTAGCTTCTCACATCCCTGCCAACAGCATAATTGTGCAGTGCAGACACTGGGTGGGAACTATGGTGATGAACCATCAGGTTTTTAACCTACAGTGCTAGATCGTGTCTTTTGTGTTTCAGTTAGTGATCCTATGACGGTTTTCATTACTTTAGCAAATTCGGTCAATTCCAAAAAAATCTTGGAATTGTAAATGAGCATTCAGGTACGGAAGTGTAATTTTCATCCAAACACTTATGTGAATCCTGTAATGAAAAATTAGTACAGTTCGAAAAATGATGATCACAGATTTTTGTTTGTATACATACATACTGTATTAGTTTCTTGAATCTATAGAGCATAACTCTTTACATATAGGAGGAAACATGCATACCTGGGTGGTGCACAGCAACCAATCCATACTGGCTAGGTGAATACTTTGAGGAAGCCAGACTGTAGAAGCTCAGAGTGGGAACTTGTATAATATATTCCACTTTGGGTTAATTAAGTTAATTACACTACGTTTTCAAAAAGTGCCATTGGATATTTAATGTCTTAATGTCTCCTCCGTAGGATGGCAACTCCTTAGCTGTGTCCTCACTCATCATACTAGGATATAGGTTGGGAATTTCAGAGGGAAGATCGCCACGTACTGGTCCACCGAACACCACTTAGGCTGTTCCTAAAGTATCCAAGACTAGGACAGCTGCTATCTTAGATTGAGGCTTTGGATCAAGAGTACTTGAGCGTGTGTCTGTGGGAGAAACGTATTCTTTTGGAAAGCCTGAACAGGAGATTGTGCCTGTTTCTTTTCTCAGCCTCTGTGACCTAGAGGAGCATGTTCTTGTTCACACAGACGGTATGCAAAAGGCATCCTCTTGCACAGCTCTGGGGGGGGGCTGGGCCGTGAGGAACAGGGAGTGCAGGAGGTGCGTGTTTCCTCTTGAAGGCTCACACAGCTCAGTTTGTTTGCTCAGCAAGTAAAGAACCTGCCAAGTGCACTGTTAGCAAACAGGCCTCTGCAGCCCTGACAGGGCAGTGTGCTCCACAGAAAAACACAGTTCTCCAGTTGGGAGGGCTTTACTTGCAAGAATAACCTGGTCTTATTCTCATGCTGAGATCAGGAGGATGTTCTCTCATAGACATTGCAAAGCCTGGTTTGTCCCTTTCTTCCTGGTTCTCATCCCCATCTTGGCATCTCAGCAGCTGAGCCCTGCCAACACCTTGGAAATGCCAAATGCACAACCATGCTTCGCCAAAGTGAGAGTCAGATTCCAGATTTGTCAAATAGGATCATAAATTCCAGAACTGAAAGAGAAAATACAGAAAACAGTCATCCTCTTTAAATAAGAACAGAAGGAAGTTTAAAAACTGAGGGGAAGCTCATTTTGCTTGGTTCTTGGTTGCTTGTAGCTGATTGATCTCACGGGGTCATCTACAGTATCTGTTTCTGCATGGTCTGGCAGCATTTGAAGAGCAAAGAGCACCATGTACAATTCCTCCTAAAGATCATACTAACTTTAGTTTGTTTCTCCTTACAGCATAAACACAAACCAACCCCTTTTTTAATTAAACAGAATTAAAGAACACAGCACGGCTAATGCATTCACTGGCACTGTGTAGATAAGCATGCATAATGCTTTCTTGTCATACATTACCTTGTATGTCCTTGAGACAAGGAAGAATTCACTCTATAAAACTCAATATAGTTATAGAAAGAACTGTTGTTCACAGTTGAAACGCACCCTGACACACAACCCCGCCCCACCTCCCAGTGTCACACTGTACGAATTAGCTATAGCCTCCAATGAATGAATACACATTGATAAACTGAACAGTACGTTCTTGGCAGAGAGCAGGACTCATCAGCTGTGCACATGTTCACATCTGTGCAAACTTTTCTCAGCTGAAAACAAATAACCAGACTAATCATCCATCCATCCATTTTCTAACCACTTCTTCCAATTCAGGATCACAGGGGAAAAAGGACACCAGTCCATTGCAGGGCACAGACAGACACACACACACACATCAGAGACAATTTTCCACGAAGCCATTTAACCTACCAGTATGATTTTGGACTGCAGGAGGAAACCAGTGCACGTGTAGGAAATCCACATACTGTATAAACAATGCATATATAAACTCAATACAGTTAACACCCCAGATCTGGATTTGAACCCAGGGCCCCAGCAATGTGAGGCAACAGTGCTAACAACAACATCATTGCTGCTCACCAGGCTAATCAGTTGTGCACAATTTCAACATAATTGCTTTAATCTAGAGGCAGCAAGTATGAACTTTTGTGGCTTAAAACAGCCCTGTCGGTCTGGGGCCTGGTGGCCAGTGTGTGAAACTAATTAATGAAGAATTAATATTGCAGGATCTCTTTATTCTTTACTCTACCCCCCTTCCTTGTTAAAGCCATTCCGAATAGAGCCCCTTGGATTCAAAGAGAGGCTTTAGTGAAGAAACAGATGAGTCAGAACAGTGAACCTAAGCAACCTAAAAAAGCATACCAACGGGTATTCGACGTTGAAAAAGAAAATATTACACTTTACCTGTACTGAATACAAATTTGGAATCAAACTTCCTAAACTTATTAGAACGATGTTGCATGTCTCCAGAGTTTCTCTGATGCCCTGGGTTTTGTCTTTGCAGTCGAAATGCAGTCGAACAAAAGATTCCCAGCCATGTTCAGACGATATCGTAGCCAGTGCTGTTATGCTCAGTTAATCACGCCAACAGCAGCAGCGGGCTGGGATGTTAGTGTGTTGATAACTTCATTAGCTAAGTGGATCAGGTGGTGACACACTGACTGCAGCAGCTCTCTCACTGGCTTGGGCTGGCTGGTGCCACGGGCAGGGTGCCAGAGGCTCTCCCGTGGACTGATGGGAAGCATTGAAGAATTTCAAAAAAGGATTCAAGACAAATTTCCAAAATATCCTGTCTTGGGAAAGTTCGCAAAACGCACACGTCACATGGTGCAAATGTGTCGGTTTTCTAAAAGTAGTCAAAAGCCTTTTTTATTATAATGAAGCTTTTCTGGTCAACCCAGAACATGCTTACATACTGTACGTTGTTAGTAGAGCAGTGCTACTCACTGATGGACATGAGGTTCTGCCCTGCAGCCCAGGCAAGAGCAGATTGGATTTGGTTTGTTTCCGAACAGGGGCTGGCAACTTGGCCATGCTGGAGGATAGGAATACAGGAGGGAAATGAAATGAGTTTCTAGATGTTCTTCACCCATTGGGGTTTGAGCCTGAATGGCAGCCAAACCACATAATGGATAGTGGATGGATGAAGGAATGAGGGGATGGAAGGAGGGGGGGAGATCCAGTGAGGTGGGTTGTTTCACACTGTTACTTCATACGCCTTTTTTACACAGACTTATCAATACATGGAATAGATTGGTAATTTACATTGTGAAGGCAGAGAAGCTGAAATCGTTCAAAGGCCGGCCTGGCAGTGTGACAGAATCACTTAGTGTATAGGAGAATGATGAGCTCTAAATACATACTGTAAATGGCCCTTTCCTGGTGCCAAGATATCTGACGTTCTGTTCCTCTTTAGCTCGTTTTGCTATTAAATCATACTGCAGAAGCTGTGGCTTAAGGGACAGTCATAGAACACAAACCACAGAATGTGTTCTAATATTATCCTTAGTGGGAGGCCTGATATTTTTGTAGTGGTTCTTAATGCTCCTAAGCATAATGAATAGGGGAAATTGTTCAAGGCAGGAATTAGACTGTGCTTCTTGCCAAGTAACGCTGAAATCTGGTCAAATGCAATTTCAGTTACATCCTGGAATGGTTGGTTTTATGTACAAACTTTTATGTTGTAACAAGCAAAGTATTAGCTGCAGCTGTTTCGTCTGGTTGCCTGATCTTGTCAGCTCTCCGAAGCTCAGCAAGGTTGGTGGGTTTCATTATATAGACAGGAGACATCTTAGGGAAATCAATTGGAGAAATTCCACAACAGGGCTGGATGTCCAGTAGGTACTGTAATTCAGCCTTTAAGGCATATTTTTAAGTCCAGAATTGACTGCCATGAGAAACAATGCATTGGATGAGGACACTTCTGTGGAAACTCAGTTTCCTTCCGTACAGGCCTCAGGCTTCAGTTCCTTATCGGTTTCCTGCTCCCGTTGTCTCAGCGTCAGGCCTTTGTGATGTCAGTCAGCCATCTCTCTTGACAAGCTGGGGCGCTGAATGTGCTTTTGTCTGTGTGTGTGTGTGTTCCCAGATATCTGGAGCCTGGGAGTGATTCTCTACATGCTCGTATGTGGGCAGCCGCCTTTCCAGGAAGCCAACGACAGCGAGACGCTCATCAAGATTATGGACTGCCAGTACAGTGTGCCCCCCCATGTCTCCGAGGAGTGCCGAGAGTAAGTGTTCCAGGATCTGTGGGGTACCGTGACACAAAACACCCTTCCTGAAAAAACACTGGACATGTCATTTTTCCTTTTTGTGGGAATGTGTGTCTTACCAGTCCTGCCTGGAACACGTTTTATGTGTATACTATGCTCTAAGGACATAAAGGAAAGGAAATGTAAGTCTGCACATACATTAGCTGTAACAAAGGTTGCAAATATGAGGAAGCCACAGGTTATCTTGCTTATCAACATGTCTGGGCCGTTCCAGTCCAAACCCTTTGTGTAAAATGTTAAAGCATTAGTCCTCAATACACGAGCTCTTCATTTCAGTTTCTGTTTCCAGGTTATTATTTCATTCATGGAACTGAGGTGGCCTATCGAATCAGCCTTGTTAATGTCTTTCAAGGTTTTGAAGGCTTTGTTTTAAGCCCTCCCACATACTCTCCTCTGATTATGACAACTCTTTGAGACAGTGATTTTAAAATAGGATGTAAAACAATATACATCCATTTTGAGTTATTTCCTTGACGTATACTGTATTTGCAAAAAAAAATCACTAAAGACCTTTTGTTTCTAATAAATTGAAGTCCAAAATGAATGCATAAGGAAAAGTAGAATTTCCTAGAAGGGCCTTACTCGAGAAAGATTCCCTCACAAACTGTGAGCATGAGTAACACACTAGCACACAAGTGGGCTTTGGGCTCACTAGGTCCAAAACGGAACCCTGCTGTGCCTCTGGAGACCTCCTAGTGTGAAAATGTGACATTTCATGACCTCTTAAGACCGCTTAATCTTAAAGGGTCATTCTTATGTGTTCAAAATTATCCAGGGAAAGTGACAAGCCCAGAGATCAACAGGGGTAAAGTAACACACGTGTGTTGAGTTGCTCAGTGCTCAGTCTCTTCTGCACCAAACTAGATGCTTCTTTGTGTTGGCATTTCCATTTGGACCCTCAATTATACCTTCTTTACTTCCCATCCAGTTAATCAGTGACCCTCCTAGGCACATGTCCAGACATCCTCAGTCAATCCAACACAGACCCAGTAGGAGGAGTGGTGATCAGGCATGGTCCCCTAAGATCAAATTCGGCCAATGAGCCACAGGGTTTTTTGAACACATTGGAATCTGAGAATGCCCCGAGCAAGTGACACCTACCCTGCCCCAATGTGTGGCTGCCTGCAGGATCTCAGTGAAAGCAGCCCGGACATAACCCAGGCTCAAACCAGCAATGACCTGGGCTATTGACTTCAAGCTCTGTTCCAAATTGAGCCCTTTAAAGTTTGGTTTGCTTGAGAACCCATCTGTTGCTTTCTTGTCACCAGCCAGGAGCTTTCCAATCTCCTTATTTTCTGAGATTTTCCAAATCTCCTGTGACCTCCTGGGTGCTTGCCTGCTCTACATTTCTTGCCTTGAATGGAAATTTTACAAAAGTCATGCGCAATCGAGTTTGTTGCATGATTCCAAATTCAGACTAATGCTGATAGATCTGTTTCCACTATGCCGAACAGTCTATAAGCTTTCACTTGGAATTAAAATTGGCAACAAAAGTGACCTGGGGATTTATGGCATGATTTCCCATAAGAGGATGTCATTGCTCCTAAGTGTATTTCTCTATATTACTGCAGCAGATGTTTCCAGATGTATTTCTTCTTTCCTTAAATGACTACTGCCCCATTAAAGATCTAATGTTTTACAACATCAAAAGGTCTTTATGTATTGATAACAGATTTATAGCAAATAAAAAGGCATTTGTTCCTAAATAAGTGGCACATATAAAGGCGTTTCTTTGTAAAGAAGGGGTGCCTTAATCTCCATTTTCTTATCTTCATGACATTTGCTTAAAACAAGTAATTGTGCTTGAAATTATGGCCTTTCAACACAGTTACAGACCCTAAATATAGCGTTACTCGCAAGACTGGGAAAGTTGCGGTGATGAGCTCTGAGAATAGATGAAAGGTTCTTTTGATGGAAAATCTCATTAGAAAATAGAACAGTCCTCTTCATTTCTCACAGCAATTGTCTGAACATTTTCACTCGGGACATTATTAGACAGCTTTCTGCAAATCCACAAATTCTTCATTAAAGTAAAAAAAGAAAAAGTGTTACAAGATAAAAATCTGACAATAGAGAAAGACATTGTAACCTAGCAGGCCTATAGAATGGCAAATAGCAAGTTTCAGCAAGTTCTTTTGACACAATTTCATCAAATATAATATTGTGCAGGGAATGTTTCAATAGGTTCCTTTATTTTAAAGGGATTGTGCAGGTTTATTGTCACTTGGAACATCTGTCCAGTCCCTGAGGAACAATAGCATTTAAGCCCTTTCTGTGCTCTGGCTGCTGTGCAATGGACTGCCACAGAACTGACCGACATTAAGTATTCCTGCCAATGTAAAACTTGATACATCAAGCACTATGTGTAGAGTTTGCATGTCCTTCCTTTATTTATGTGGGTTTTCTCCATGTGCTCTGGTTTCTTCCCAACTATAAAAGACAAGAAAAAAGATCTGGATCTTCATCGTTCTCCCAGTGTTAACTGTCTGGATCCAATTAGGCAAGTGAGCATAAAAAGTGTAAATAAAATCTCCAAGCCACACCTGGGTGACACTGGATCAAAAGTATCTATAAGTTTACAGAGTGCTAATTGATCATTGGTATAAAGATTCCAGCTCAATAAATGAAGGGATGCAAAATAAATGTGAAAAAGAATCCAGAGAATCTTCTTATGGGATTTGCAAAAATGTTAGGACTCTCTTTCATAAAAAGGTATCATAAAGACACAGATTTAAGAATGAGATACGACTCCATCCTTGCTGGGGGAGGGAGTGGCGTGACAGTCAAGTCAAGGGCCCATGACAGAGCTTAGCCTAGAATCAGAGAATGGGCCCTGGTTTGCCTTCAGGAGCTAAGGCTAAGCAGTCACATGGATAATCTGCTGGGACAAAGGCTGAGTGAGTGGATTAGACTCTGAGAGGAGAACTAGGCCGTGTTCTGCTTCTCCCTGGTAGCAAGGCCTCAGAGCTCGGGAGCAGACTCCAGTGCATCCTCCTACTTTACCGGAGCCTTGATCTGCCTGCAGGTGTAGGACACATCCCTTCTCGTGCTGGCAGAAAGCTTTTACTAAGGGATGTGAGACTGAGAGGCGTTTTCTTCCAAGGGGGAAGCAGTCGTCTGGTCATGTTGATCTGCGCCTGTGGCTGGAAGGTTGCCGGTTCTTATCCTGCAGCCGGCAGAGGAATCCTACTC